TTCTCCACTTTGCTCAAATGCTGCCTGCAGGCTTGGATTACTCAGGCTGAGGATTATATGTGTCCTCATTTTTCTGTTACTAACTTTGGGCCACTTGATTGCTTAAAAGTCCATTCTTCCAGAGGCTGGCATGAATGATGAAATTCAAATTCAAACCAGTGAAGTTGACGTTTTAGTATCAGTGTAATCTCTAAGCATTACCACTCTGAGAATTTTTCTCATATAGACTGCAGTTGTAATGCAGTGTTCTAGGATTTGAGGAAGGTCAAATTTAAAGAATTTCTAACACTCTGTTTTTGTGTGGATTTTTCTTATTCACCACAAAATACTGTATGAAATTAGTCATTTTTGAATTTAAGTGAAAAGAACTATTTCACAGAAATCCTTTGGGAGACATAAACACAAGATTATAAGCTACTCATTAAATCAACAAATCTGTTTTTCTTATCAGTGAATACTCTTTAATATTTATCTTTATTTTTATTTTTTTTATTTTTTTATTTTTTTTATTTATTTTTTTTAATGTTTATTTATTTTTGAGACAGAGAGAGACAGAGCATGAATGGGGGAGGGTCAGAGAGAGAGGGAGACACAGAATCCGAAGCAGGCTCCAGGCTCTGAGCTGTCAGCACAGAGCCCGACGCGGGGCTTGAACTCACAGACAGCGAGATCATGACCTGAGCCGAAGTCGGACGCTCAACCGACTGAGCCACCCAGGCGCCCCAATATTTATCTTTAATAACTCAGAAAAACCATGAACTCATCTATGATCCAGGACACTTTCAGATCCATGAAGAAATCTCATTCTTACACTTTTAAGTCAGATTCTCTAAGTGCTAAAAGGATTTACTTTAACTATAATTAGGATAGAATAGTAATGTAGTAAATAATAGCATATACAGCATACCCAAAGAACTGTTATAATTTTCAAAGGTAGCACCCATTCAAGCAGTAACTTAGCTTCAGATGACGTAAATGTTCCTTGCTACTTACTTGTTTATGCAGAAAATGTAATTCAGTTAATTTCTCCTTGTCACTCCAATTCATTCCCTTTAAATTACCACCATAGTATTTTGTTTTTCTCCAAGAAATTAAGAACATTTCCAGTTCACCATTGCCTGGAGTTCTTTCTTGTGCTCTCTACCTTAGCTGGGGTGTCCTCAAGGGGTCAGGACAAAGTAATTGGCTTGCAAAGTTTTAGAAACCATCAGCTATGATCTATAGTAGCAGAGAACTTCCAAAAACTTGGAAGGCTTGTTTAAGTATTTCAAATGGTGATTCTCATTGTTATCCCATTAGCAGGGTATTCAGAATAAAAATTTGTTTCTCAAGAGCCTATTCTCAAGAGATCTGGAAAAAAAAAAGGGGGGGGGGATTCTATTTGGAGTTTTTGGCAAGATTTTTGCAAAACAACTCTGTTGTGTGAAAGGGTATGGTTACTGTACTGCAAGTTCTTTGAGGGCAGGAACCCCCTCTCCTCCTGCTTGCATCCTCAGCAGTCAGTGGGGCTTGACACCCAGTAAGCACTTCTAGATATCTGATGAACCAAGTATTCAAAATTCACAAATACCACAACACTCTCATTTCTAATGACAGAAACGGAAATAGGGCTCCTTGCTTTCTCCAGACCCTCTGTCTTGGTCAGTGGGCTCATAGAAACTTGAGCCAGTGGAGATGAAACCTCAGTGATGTTTCTCTTTCTCCCATTTTTGCTTGAACAATCTTTCTATGTTACTATGGTAATACCTGGTAACAGGATGCTGGTATTTCATTTATAAGGTAAATGAAAGTGGGAAGGAGGAAGAGATCGTGAGTTATGCAGTTCATAAGAAAATCTGCCCAGACACAACCTCTTTGGCAATCTGTAAAGCTTGTGCATGTTCCATTTTATAATAAATACATTTAAATAATACATGACACTATACAGAACAGATATACTATGTTGAAACAGAGATCCACTGAGCCCAAGAAAACTGCATCAAGTATGAGATTATAAATAAGGGAGTATTTTCAGACTTTTGAAAAAATAGCAGGGAGAATTTAGTCTGTAAATAGGACATTTTCTCATTTCAACATATAAAAAGGTAATAGCTACAGAATTTCAAAGATGAGTATATGAAGCTATGCAGACTGAAGGCTGGATATTAACCAGGGACCTGATCTGAATGGTAAGTACACTGGTTACTACAGTTATAAAGGGCAGGAATAAACTAATAAAACAAAGACATCTTTTAGTAATACGTCAGAGCCAGGTAATGTGCAACTTTAGAGCCAGGTATGACCAAAGCTAGAATCTGAGGGGAGGAGAAAACAGCATGCAGTGACTGACATCTGAAGTCAAGTTTCTCCACATCACTTTTATACTTCGATGGCTGTAATTTATTAAAACCCAAGCTGGGAATGTTTCTGCCTGTCCAAAGCAGGTGCTGTAACACTGGAGGAAACCTTCCATCCAGTAGATTAATTTTGTGTGAGGACATCTGAAGAAAGCTGCTATGGCTTCTTGATTTATGACTTCATTAAAATGTTTGGGCTTCAAATCTCCATCAACATTTATTGGAATTAACAGCTTCTTAAAATGGAAATATTCAATGATAAATTAATGTAGCTTGGACCTTGTATGAGGAAAAAACAAGGCACTTTAGGCATGCTTTATATACCTTGAGGAAAAGAGGAATACTTTCTGCTCCTGTATACTAATAAGTCTTAGGAATGAGTAGGTGAGAAGAGGTAAGTGAGAGCATGAAGAGAACAATAATGAATTCTCAGCCACAAAGAGTAGATAGAAATGCCAGCATTCTTTTCAGAAATGCATTAAGAAAAAGGTCTAGGGGCGCCTGGGTGGCTCAGTCGGTTGAGCATCCGACTTCAGCTCAGGTCACGATCTCGTGGTCCGTGAGTTCGAGCCCCGCGTCGGGCTCTGGGCTGATGGCTCAGAGCCTGGAGCCTGCTTCCGATTCTGTGTCTCCCTCTCTCTCTGCCCCTCCCCCGTTCATGCTCTGTCTCTGTCTCAAAAATAAAGGTTAAAAAAAAATTAAAAAAAAGAAAAAGGTCTAAATTGTTCCTGCTGTAGAAAGACCACAACCAACTGAAAATCAAAGGGCTGGTGTGTCTGTTGCAGACATTAACTGACTTATTGTCCACAGAGATCTCAATCCAAAGATGTAACTTCCAGGTGTGCTGTTTGACAAGATTCCAACAAGGACACAAGAGTATGAGCTTTCTAGGTAGTTCTCATTTTTTTATATTAACAGCACCCAGCTACATCTAACAGATATTAAATATTTGATGAATGAATCAGCTACCACTTCCAAAGAGAGTCCCAATATTTTCCTTGCCGTTTCTTGCTGTCCATTTGTTCAAACTATTCCATGATCTAAAGATGATGCAGTTAATGCTATCAGCACCCAAATTCAACAAAGGTTCATGTATCCCTTACTTCATCAACTCAAGTGTGGACAAATAGCTTACATAATTAATAGGGAAATATGGACCTAAAATCTACCTGGTTAGGACATGTTTTACCTTGCTGCCTGCCAGGGTTGATTAAATGTGACCCCCTCACTCTGGTATCATCCAATCCATAAGTAAGTCCTGTTGACTCACGTCCAAGAGGTTTCCTGATTTTGTTTCTCCATTTCTATAACTACTACTTTTGTTCAAGCTATCACCATCTCTGGCCTGACTACTACAATTACCTTCTAATTGGTCACCCTGCCTCCAGTTCCAACCCCTACAAGCAATTATCCATATAGCAACCAGCTATCTTCTTAAAACATATAACATATCATGTTATTTCTGTTTAGAATTCTTCAAGGGCTCCCCATCACACTAAAAATAGAACACAAATTTCCTGCTCTTGCTCACCCCTTGTATACCTCATCTTATTCCACTGGTTTATTCACAGACTATACTCCAGCAAAATTGGCCCTCTAGCTGTTCCTGAACAATCCTGAACACATCCCCATCTCAAGGCCTTTGTCCCTTTTGTCCTATCAAGAATGTTCCTCTTTATCCACTTTGGCAAAGCAGGATTTTTCCTGTCATTCAGATTTTAGCCTAATGTCACCCACTCTGAGATGCCTTTCTTCACCACTCAAACTAGCTACCGAGTCATACCTATCACAATAACCTTGTTAGATCTCTGCATAGTAAGTTTCTCTTTCTGATGTTTCTTTTAATTTCCTTGTTGTATGGGCTCCCCAATTAGTCTGTAACCTCCAACAGGGCAGAGATCTTGATCATCTTACTCACTATGAAAAATAATCCCTGGCACATAGATCGCAAATATCCTTACTAAAAAATAAAAAGTCTAAAACAGTCACATGTTAGTGGCATGGCAAGCAAGGAAGTACTTTACTAAATATGGGTTCCTAAACCAAACTAGGTGTTAAGTAAAGATACTTAACAGCTGGCTCAAGATATACACTAAGTTGGTGAGTTGGCTTAGAGGCTTCCATATATGGTGAGAGTCTCACTCACCCCTTGTATCTACAAAACCAACTCTTAGTCTCTGTGGCTCTGGGCTCGATTTTCACAAGGTGTTCACCTATTTGTGGGCATCCACTGTGCAATTCAGGAACTGTCTCCTTGACCACTTGGGCCATTCAAAGGACTGATAGGTCAGACCCATTTTTCCAAGGCCTGTCCTATTTATAAGAATCACACTCATTCTCTAGGTACTGGAAAACTTTCTTTACCCCTTGTGCTACGTTGTCCTTACTAGCAGCCACTGGATACTGTATTAGGGCTCAAACATACTTTCTCCTCTAGTTGCAAAACTCGTTGTTTCCTTTTGGTAACCCATAATTTTTCTCTAACTAATAAAGTGGAATAGCTGAATGAACACTGGGTGTGAAGTCAGAGTCCAGGGATTAAAATTCTAATTCTATTATTTAGTTGTAGCCAATTCAACCCTGGGTATATGATTTAACCTCACTGAACCTTGGTTTTCTCATCTGTATAATGGGAATATGACTATCTACCTCTTAAATAAACAGGTGAAAGCTCCGGGGCTTGCACTCTGCAGGCAATACACATCTGAGCCAAGAAGGGTGGCAAGACCAGAACTCATGGACTTATCCACTTCTCATGGCTTCCTCTAGTAGTTCCTCAAGTTTTCATAGGGGAGAGAGGGACTGTTCCATAAGTCCATCAAGAGAGTTTCAGAACAGCAAAAACACTTCTTTGTCATCAAAACAGTAATCATAAAGGAAAGGAAGACAACTCACCACAGACTACAGAAGCTTTAGAAGCAAATGAAACTAATAAGACCATGTTTATTGAAGTGCCAAGTCAGATGACAACACTGGATTATGTAAGATTGTGACTAAGTACCAGTAATATATTAAGTGTCATGAAGGTCTCATCGATGAATGAGAGGAACGTTAGTGGACATTACTAATCTGTATTAAAAAGCTACCCATCAGGACAGCCTGGGAATGAAGACTAATCCAAGGGAAAATGTGACAATGTCTGCACATGGGCCTGTGAAGGGAATAATCTCAAAATCATTAACAAGACCCTACTTAATGTTATATATGTGTGTGTGCAAATTTTTCTTTTCTCAATTTTACATTTTTCTACATTTTTTTCAGTGAATTATAAGCCATTTGAAGCAGAGATAAGCCCATTGTTTCCTATGTAATAACTAAGAATAAACCTTTTCTCTCGGAAAACTTCCTCTAGTTTCTAAAATGGGTTCATCAGGTCTACTGTAAGGCACATCTGTGACTGGCAGAGCTCTCTGCTCCAGGGGTGCTCCATAAACATCCTGACACCACAAAGAAGCTACTCAAAACTGACAGGTGATCTGCTGGAAAACAGCAGATTTTTCAAAACAAAAGGGAAGCCAGAGATGAGTGTGAGAGGTGGGGTGAACATCGGCACCAGGCACTGTGCGTTTGTCACTGTGCTATTTTTACATACACTACCTCACTGGACCTTGGAGGAGTCATACTCTCTTCCCATTTAGTAAGTGAGGAGGGAAACCAAAGTCTCCCACCTAGTAAACTGCAGAGCCAGGATTAGAAAATTCATGATTTTTTCCTATATCCCATGGCCTCAAAAAGTTTTCATTTTGACATTTCAGTCCAATTTATGAGATTCTGGAATTCTTAGAAGGAAAAAAGGAACAGAGTTTAATTCTCAGTTCTCACTGGCAGCTGCAAACCTTGCAAGCTGTTGGCTGGGCATGGACCTCACCAGGGTACTACCTGGACTTCTGTCTGAATGAGAATTATGTTCTATGTTTCTTCAAGGTTTTTCATTCAACCTTAAACCACAGCATCAAACTCAGATCCCTTACTAGAGAGCTACATGAATAATTAATAATTTCTACTATTTATTTGGAATCTAGTAGGCACCAAGTATTGTTTGGAGCTTTTGATAAATCTCACTTAATCCTCAGAAACTCCTAAATGGTAGGTTATATTATTCATTCTAGACAGATGAGGAAACTGAGGCAGCTAGCAAATGGCAGGACCAAGATTTGAATCAAAGTACAAATGGCAAGCTCTTATAATTTTATATAGCCCACAATTACCTCTTATTAAACCAAAATAAAATGAACATCTTGAATACTTGAAAGTAAAGCATAAACAGCCATATTAGAGGTCAAATTAATTTAGGATATTAGTTTGATTTTGCTCCTCACCTCCTTTAGGCATGCTAAACATAGGTAATAGGTTGATGCACAGAATATAACATTTGCTAGAAAAATTTTAAGACAATTATTTCATAAAAAGGTAATTTCTGCTTCTAACCACCAACATCTATGGCACCTGCAATCTAAAGATCTCAGGAAGAAGAATTCTGAAAATGGCAAATGAATAACTGAGTATTTTACATTTACTTGTAATAAAAAGACAATAGAAAAGTTAAAATCTGTATTTCCAGGCATGTCCACAGGTCTGTTAGCATAGAAATGGTGTGTTTTAGTGATTTCTCAGCTGTACTAACAATCAACTGATCCTGAAACAGCTCTGTATACTCCAAATTTAGTACAAGAGGCTTAAATGGAACCACTTTTTTTTTAATAGACATACCACTCAAAGATAAACACACACACACACACACACACACACACACACACACACACACACACTCTACTGCTCCTCAAAAAAAAAAATCACTGCACAATGCTTTGTCCTTTGTTCATAACATGAGAAGATGTTTATAGTCCCTTGCTCTCTCCATCTCTCTCTCTCTTTCTCTTCCTGTCCCCTGGCCCTTTCCCCCTCCCACTCAGATGAGGAGTTCATTTTGCTCCCCCCAAAGTCTTGAGGACAGGTACTGCAAAGGGAGAGGTTCTGAAGAGGACGGAGAAGAGCAGCAGTGGTGATGCAGGAGAGGGCAGAGGTTTTTGGGGGTGCTGGGGCTGCAGCTCTGCTCCTGGGTTGCAAGGACTGGGAGGTGAGATGGAAGCAGCTGTCTCATAGACAAGGCTGTGATGCACAAATACCTGAGGGACTTCTATCACTCTGGCTTATCCACTTATACTGGGAGGTAGCAGGTAGGACCCAGCAGCCAGCAACTTTTGGCCAGGGCCCACCACATGGCCTTCCAAACCAGGTTCTGGAGAACTACCTAATATATTTTCCTGCCTTCACAAAATGCCCTTCTTGTAACTTGATGGAAACAATAGTGGGGTATGAATGGCATTTTCCCCATGGACTCAGGGGCATTGGAATCCTGTCGTACCTTTCCCTCAGGGTCCCGGAGGGAAACACATGAAACAACCTCTGCTTGAACCTTCCCTCTACTAAAAAATGTCTGGACCTCTGACTTCTTCCCAAAAGGTGTAACTCAGTGCTGTGCACTCAGCAAGCATATCATTGTCTGGAAGAAAAGTCCCTGCATTTGTCTTCCTCATCACCAGGAATTGGCCAAAGTTTACAAACAGGCAGCATCTACTCTGCCTAGTTCAGATACACAACCTAATCATAATCCTAAACCTAATCCTAATGGGATGAAGGGTTTTCATCCCATTTCTTTCCCTCTTTACTCAATAACAGCTCTCAGAGAGAGAGAAAACATTAGAGGCAAATCTAAGCTTTTAACTTGAACTTAACTGGCCAACTCAAGCTTTAAGATACTAATGAATAGATAACAGGCAGATCTGCTATATTCAAAGGGAGAAATATAATATTGCTTTATGTTTTGTTTTGGGAGGGTCAAGTTTTATGAAGTCAGGTCTGATTGTTGGAAATTTCCTGGGCATGAGCAACAATAGAAGCAATGGTTAACCTATGCAAAAATAAATTGCTTTTCTAAGGATTATTAATAATACATTTGTAACTACTCAGAGACTGGTTATAAACTTTCAGAGACAGAATGAGAATGTAATCTGTCCACAGCAACAGAGATGAATCATTTTGATAAATTCTTTATGATGGTGGCTCATCTCCTGCAAACTGTGGATTGGTTAAAGAATCTATAGCTAATCCTTCAATAACTCCCATAGCACCTCATTACTCATGAGACAGTGACATCTTAGGTCATAAAAAAGGTGCTGTTGTATAACACAGGTGCTGTGTAACAGCCTCAGGTCATGAATATTAACAGATAGCCTCAAATGGGATGATACCAATAAAGACTTCCTGCCAACTTCTACCCAAGAAATGAACCAGAGGGCAGTACAATGTGCCCCTGCAGACATTCTGAAATCAGGGGTGATGGGTGTAGGCATTGTGTCCTTTGCAGGTTTGCTGATTGCCATGATCCCTCCTACTAAGCCATGACTACAATTATTTTTGTTGGCAAGAATGACCCATAAGTTTCCCTGCTCATATTACCCTTTTCCAACTTTTACATTAGGCATATAGTAATTTCTTAAGTGAGTGTGAAGCACTTAATTGGTTAGTTTATTCCACCAATATTTACTGTGCTCACTGACATCTGGATTTACTTCTACCTTGTCCTATTTATCTAATTTTATGCCCATTTCCCCCCTTTATTGCCTTCTTTTGGAATGTATTTTTTTTCATTCCAATAGATTTTTTGCTCTACTTCTTTGGAATTTATCTCCAGTTTTTTAGCAGCTCCATTAAAATTTTGTCATGACTACTTGAGAATGTATTTTCCATCTTCTCAAACACCATAAGAATTTATAAGACTTTGACTCTGTTCAATGCCCCCCAACCTACATGCTACTATTGGACAGCATATTTCTTTAGTTTTATTTTTCTATACCCCTACAATTAGACATTATATTGTTTAATATAGGAAATTATTAATTTCTTTTATGACTTTCCTTCTAAGAAGAATTTTCTTCTTCCTGAAGCACATCTTTCAGAAGTTCTATAAATAAGGGTCCATCTGTGAAATGTTCTATTTAAAAAAAAAAAAGCAAAACATCTGAACATTATTTTGCTCTCATGCTATAAAGACCGTTTCATTAGATCCTTAATTCTAAGTTGACAGTATCAACTATCCGCATTTTAAAGATACTATTTCATGGTCTTCAGGACGCTATAGTGGCTGAGCAGTCAACGGCCAGTTTAAATGTTATTCCTTTCTAAGTAACTTTTTCTACTGGCTGCTTTTAAGGCCATCTTTTATCTGTAATTTCATCGTTTATTTATACAGGTACGGAGTTCTTTTTATTTTTTCTTGAGACTCACAGCATTGTCAAAATCTGAGTATTCATATCTTTCATACATTCTAGCAAATATTCTTAATTGTTACATTTCAAATACTTCGCCCTTATTTTCTCTATTCTCTTCTTCTTGAACCCCTGAATGTATCTACATTAGGTCTTCTCATATTATCTTGTATTATATCAATCACTTGCATTTCTTAACCTTCTATTTCTCCCTAATACATACCAGGTAATTAAACTTTGTGCTCCAGTACATTATTCCTTAAAGATATTTAATCTGCTATTTAATCCATCCACTGAGTTCCAATTTTTTTTAAATCTTTATTTATTAGAGAGAGAGAGTGTGCAAGTGGGGAAGGGCAGACAGAGAGGGAGAAAGAGAATCCTGTGCAGGCTCTGCACTGATGCAGGGCTCAATCCCACGAACATGATATCATGAATTGAGCTGAAATCAAGAGAGTTGAATGTTTAATCAATGGATCCACCCAGGCACCCCTGAGTTTCAAATTCTAATAATGACATCTTTTTAGTTAAGATCTAGTTAGTTTTTTTTAAATTTAACTGGTTGATTATTTTATTATTATTATTATTATTATCACTATTATTTTTAAACTTACATCCAAGTTAGCATATAATGCAACCATGATTTCAGGAGTAGATTCCTTAGTGCCCCTTACCCATTTAGTCCATCCCCCTACCCACAACCCCTCCAGCAACCCTCTGCCTGTTCTCTATATCTGAGAGTCCCTTATGTTTTGTCTCTCTCCCTGTTTTTAGATTATTTTTGCTTCCCTTCCCTTATGTTCATCTATTGTGTATCTTAAATTCCTCATATGAGTGAAGTCATATGATATTTGTCTTTCTCTAATTTCGCTTAGCATAGTACCCTCCAGTTCCATCCACATAGTTGCAAATGGCAAGATTTCATTCTTTTTGATTGCCAAGTAATACTCCATTGTATATATATACCACATCTTTATCCATTCATCTGTTGATTGACATTGGGCTCTTCCCATACTTCGGTTATTGTTGATAGCACTGCTATAAACATTGGGGTGCATGTGCAGCTTTGAAACA